CTCCTCCCTTCCCTTCCTCCTGTACCACTGTTCCTTAATAGTTTTGAAAAGCCAGAACATTGGCTGAGCGGTCAGTGTGTCGGGAACACTGGAAACTTGGAGCCTAGACTTTGTTTCCTTGAAGGGGAGCCCAGCCATTTATTTGCATAAAAGTTAAAACAATGCTGTGGAGTGTGTGTGTGTGTGTGTGTGTGTGTGTGTGTGTGTTTGCACGCGTACGTGCAAGTAAGTGGAGACAGAGGATTTAAGGCCATAAAGCCATTCTATGTGTTTCTGCAATGATGGATATGTGTTATGCATCCATAAAACACAAATAATAAAAGCCAATGTAACCATGAACTGTAGGTGGTAAACATATTAACAGCAATTCACCCATGGTAAGAAACACACCCCACCAACACAAAATGCTAATGATGAAGGGATCTAGAAGGAGGACAGGGAAGGCAGGAGCTCTCTGTCCTTTCCGTTCACTTCTCTGGAAACCTAACACCGTTAGAAAAGTTTAGAGTCCACAGTTAACCACCAAACTCAATCTCATTCTTCCATTCAGTATTCTTAGACACTGATTGGCTTTTTATCATGCCTTATTCCCTGTTTGGGGCACTTGGGATTCAATAATGAATAAGGCAAAACCCTGCAGCTCCCTGGACTTTTGTTCCAGCTGGGAAGGGATAATGAACACACTCATAAAAAAGGAAATAATGCCAGACAGTGAAGGCTCCAGACCAAAATGAGTCGTCACAGTGCAGTAGCTGAGCCTCCTGCTTGAAGCGTGCTGTTTTCGGCATGGTGGTCCAAGTGGGCCATGGTTAGAAGGGGATGGTTGAGGTCATCCCTAAAGAAAGTCACTTTGTCTATGTTGCAACCATCAAGCAACCAGTTAGCAACCATCAAGACACTGGTGATACACTCCTTAAAAAAAAGAAAAAGAAAAAGAAAAGAAAAAAATCACTTCCCTATTTTCTCCAGGATCTGTTTCAAGTTTTTGATACTCATTCTACGGGATTGTAATTTATTACCTCAGCAAACAACACAGACCTCGCATGCCTTGGTCTTTAAATGCAGCGTTTGCTGAAGTGTCAGGGGCTGCACTGTGCAGTTACTGCACCAGACACAACCTCTGGTTTTAAGGAGGCACAGGTAACAAACAACCTGGTCACACCTTCCATCTGGCTGACAGAAATCCTGAGATGTTATCATTGTTAAACACATCCTAATCACGGCGATGTTAGCATGTGAAGGAAAATGCACACTTACCAGTTATCTACGTGAAAAACTGCCATCTGCTTGTTAGCTTGAACAACATTTAATTCTCTTATGATTTGGAGGCTAACGACCACATCTCAGTCATTGAAGCCATACTCCATTTAGAGGTTTTAGGTTTTAGACCCTTGCTTTTTCCAGCCTTTAGCACATCAAGCCTTACATCTTTGACCCATGAATCTGTCCTCCACCTTCAAAGCTAGTAGCACACAGTATCTAACCTCAGCCATCATATTGCCTCTGTCCTTTAGTCAAATAACTCTTTGCCTTCCTCATGTCAGCACCATCTTGGTTTGGTTTACTGACCACTTGACTATCTTGGACATCTTAAGATCCTAAACTTAAGTTGGCAAAAGTTGTTTTTCCTGTATCCATAGTAACATTTGCTTACAGAGGCTAAGGATTTGGACTTGGGCATCTTTGGGATTCATTATTAAGTCTATCATGGCATGTTAGATATGAAGAAATAAGTAAATGTGAAGTGAAGCCACTGGGTGAGGTCACTGGGTGGTGAATATAGATGTGGGGAGTGTGAGTACTTTGCTCAGGCTCAGAATCATGAAGAGGACATACATCAAAAAAGGCTGCAGAGTGCTGGCCTGTGAGATCTGTGACAACCTAGGCAACTGGAGTCTCCATAGTCAGAAAAGATTCTCCAATGAGTAGTGATTATTACCTTCTATTGGTGAAATTATTAAGGCCACTCCACGTAGTTAAAAGGATATTTATTTAATGGCATAACTTACAAATTAAGGGATAGGTAGGTCGCAGGGTCTGGGGAAGGTGTATCACAGTCCAGCAGTGTTCTCTGGAGCTCTGTTCGGTCCACTTCCACTGTTCAGGGTCCCAGAACAGAGAGAGTGCTGGCCCATCCAGATCTCGGGTCTCCAGGCTCCTCCCCTGGCCCCGCCTCATAGGCGTGACAGTTGCCAGAGTCTCAATGGGGGTTAGAACTTCCAGATCAAAACTGGAATGGCTACCCACTATATCTCCCCCTTTTTGTCTAAATAAGAAGGTTCTAAACTAATACAAGACTATATACAAAGGAATGGTTATCAAATATTGTCCAGGAATATAGAGGGATAATGACCTAGATAAGATGGAACTACAACCAATGCAAACAATATCAAGCAAGAAACACATTCTAAAATCCAGAGAAGTATAGAGAAGAGGTAAATGGCATGTTATAAAGATCATTTTAAAAGTTGTCCTATCCTAAAGAACCTGAATCTAATACTTAATATGTTTTATCTATGATATTATATATACTAAGTTGTAACTATAACTGTTAGTCTTAAATCCCATCAAAGACCTGAGAAGGAACATAATGGTACCTGAGAAATGATAAATGGATGCAAGCAACTTTCTGAAATCTTGCAAGAGTACACCAAGACAGCTGGCAGCCTGGACAGTCACCTAATGTTTCTCAGCATTGTTGGTGCATTTAAATTGGCTACAGGCCTAGAGTATCTGACAGACCATTTTCAGAAGCAGGAATTCTGAAAGACCATCTTACCCTGTCTTGGCAGAGTACAGTGGTCGCTTTCCTTGTGTCCCGCTTGTCCAGAAAAGACAGCATTGCATTTAATGGCGTAACTTACAAATTAAGGGATAGGTAGGTCGCGGGGTCTGGGGAAGGTGTATCGCAATCCAGTGGTGTTCTCTGGAGCTCTGTTCGGTCCACCTATACCGTTCAGGGTCCCAGAACAGAGAGAGTGCTGGCCCATCCAGATCTCGGGTCTCCAGGTACCTCCCCTGGCCCCGCCTTGTAGGCATGACAATTGCCAGAGTCTCAATGGGGCTTGGAACTTCCAGATCAAAGCTGGAATGGCTACCCACTATAACCTTCAAGTCTTGCTCAGTGATTTCAAGTCCAGGAGTGGATGCAGTGCACTTGATAAGGACAATTTAAGAGGAGGAGTGATGGGCACACATCCTGACTGGAGGAAGCTTATGGGAGAATGAATGACGAGCAGATAGGGATACAGTTGTAGACATCTCAGGTTTCCCCACAGAGTGATGGAAGGTGAGAATGTGGGAACTTTTCCAGGATTCATGATGGAAGATGAGGGGGCAAAGCAGAGGGGCAAGGTGAGGATATAAAATAAGTAGCAGATGCCTTTTCATGGTAAATTTACAAAGCAAATGTTCTTCCAAATAATAAAGGTGTAGGATAATAAATGGTGTTTTGATCAGCATCAAGGTCACTGTGCCACACAGGAATTTTTGTGATTCTGCTCATCATTGATGACTAAGCACCAAGCCTGCACTGAAGTCTCATCGTTCAAATGTAAATGAAACACAGATCATAATGATAAAGACTGCTCTATTTTTAATTTGATTTTTTCCCTTAGCCTTACAGCTTTTAATTGTTTCATTCCCCCACGAGAAATTACTAATAACTCAGATGTGATTATTATGAATTCTTTTAATGGAATCATTATCTTACTCTTTATTGGTTTCATATGAATCTTCTAATATAAAGATTGAAAATCCATTCAGAAAGAATGAGACAAACTGTCTCCTGCGTGGATCATTATATAATATACAATAACTAGAAATACCTTATTATCCTGGAAGTTTTGAGACAGAAATGACAAAATGGCACCTATCCATTGACTATGCATTCATGTCTGTCAGTTTGCTAGGCGATTCCAAATCTGTGGGACAGCATGACAAAGTCAGTCTTATTATTCTCATTTTATAAATGAATCAAGGCTTTGCCTACATGACTAGCAAGACACCATTTCAAGTGACAGGGCTCCAGTCACTATGACCTGTGGCTCTTCTCCCGTTCTCCCTCTGGATTCCTTCCTGACACTTGCCCTGTGAACTGCTACACTTCTCATCAATGAGTTTGTTGTGGCAGGATAATTTGGTGGTGTGCTATAACCTGGCAACCCAGTGGCTATCCCAGAGGCCATGCTTAACTTCCCTTCTGCTCTTATTCCACACAACTGCCCTTACATGTCGGGCACAGAATGGCACCTGCCACGGGGGTTCCTCTTGTGATTTGGCTGTAAAATGTCCCTGTGTAGGCTCACGGGTTCGAAACACTCATTTCTCAGCTGGTGCCAGAGCCTTGGGATGTCTGAGTCTTTGGGAAGTCTGGCCTAGCTGGAGGAAGTGGGTCATGAGGCTTTGAGGGTTATAGCTCTATCCCGCTTCCGGTTCAGGCCCCTCTGGTCCTTGATCCACCAAGATGTAAGCAAGTCCACCTCACACATCATCTATCACAGCCAGCAGCATCTTTCATCATGCTTTTATTGCAAGGGTAGGATGTATGATCTCAAATCATGAACCAAACATTGTGTGCATGTGTCTGTGTGTATACATATACAAACATATATATGTGTATATATATATATATATATATATATATATATATATATATATATACATACATACATACACATACACACATATGTGAGTTTTCTGCCTCAGTGGGCTTCTTTGGGTATTTTATTACAGTGATGAGAAAAATGAGCAATACACCTCACGTGTTTTTCACCACAATTGATATGGCTTGGATTTTTTTATTACACCTAAGGAAAAAAAAGTTGCTCAGTTCTCCCCCTTTACTCTCTGAACGTCCACATGAACAGAATGACTGATGTCACCAGCCTCCTCCTCATCATTTCACTTCACTGAAGGAGAAACCATTGTGCTACCAATAGCTGGTCATATTTTTAGAATAAAAAAGACTCTTTCTAAAAATAGCTGACCTCTGGATGGTTCCGTTTCTCCTCCGCCTGCCCACATCGACAGTGCGGCACTTCCTCTCCAGGACTTTTCTTGTTGGTTTCAGCCAACACCTTACTGGTGATATGATCCTTCGGTTTGTTCCTGTTCCTTGATTTCTTGTGTGGGCGCAGTGTCGTCATCTGCTTAAAATACGATTGCCAAGTTATAGGAATATTAATTTCAGGTTATTGTTTTACTTGGTCTAAGTACAACGATGATTTGATCCTTAAATATATTTTTATGCAAGCCGTATTGAGCATTAAGATGAATGTAAAGGCAGTTCACCCACTTTCCCATGAAACAGAGTAGCTTTTCATTGTCAGCTCGTTGTCTAATAACATCGATGACATCTAGACAAATACAAAAATTAAGCAGTTTGGAGGCTAAAAGGGCAATAAAGGTAGAAAAGAGGTGGGGTAATAGCTTGAAGAAAGAGAATACAGGGAGCGAAGTTGGCATTATCTGGTGCTTTCCTCTTTAGCATTTTGTTATTGCTAAAATGTACAGGGTGGGAATATGAGTGGACAGACAGAAGGACACAGGAGTTAGTCAATTTGTGTTGCCATCATGAAACTCAGAGATATAAATTATTGCTCAAAGTCCAGCCAGATAAGAAAGAAAATAGTGAACATTCTACTCACCACATCAATATCCTCAAAGAACTACAGATTAGGTAGAAGTAAACTGAAAACAGACAAGTCTTCACACAGAAATACACTTGATTTCTCCTAATTCCTCAGGGAATGAGGGTGGCAGGCTCCTAATCAATTACCAACAAAAAGGAAAATAGATCCTTATGCAGAAGATATATCATCAGAACCACTAAGGTTTTCCATAGACACTAGCCCTTATTCTATTGGAAATTACTAGGCATGCCTGAAGACAAGACCAAAAATCAAGAAATTAAAAGAAAATAATAAAAATAGGTATGCAGATAACTTTATATTGGGGATATCATAAAAAGTCCTCATGATACAAACAATGGCAAGCTGAATTTCACCAGGACACTAGGATCTTTAAAGAGTGTGATATAAGTTAAAAAAAAAAAAAACCAACCAGTGAATGTGTGTGTCTGTGTGTAAGTATGTACACACGAGTCCAGGTGCCCTCAGAAGCTGGAGGTGTCAGATGTCCCTGGAGTTGGAATCACAGATGGTAGTGAGCCCCCTGATGTGGGTACTGAGAATGAAGCCCCAGCCTCTGCAAACGCAGAGTGTGCTCTCAACCACCGGGCCAGCTCTCTAGCTCCTGTAACACAAGTTTAGAGTTGAATAATAGAATATCTTAGGTTAATAACAAATGGGTTTAACCAAAGATCAAACAACAGTAGAGAGAATTCGTGAACTGGAATGTAAGCAGAAAGAAAGAAAACTCAGATTAAAGCACAGAAAGCGAAGGAGTGCATAAAACGCAGCTGAACTAGAAGCAATGGTTGCCGTGGGAGGCACAGAAATAAGGAGGTGAGGAAATACAAGAACAGTGCTAGAAGATGTAAGGACTGAGACTCTCCAAAATCCAGTGAATCAGATCAACTCACACATGTGAGAAACTCTAAAAACTCAGTGAAGAGTTAATATTTAAAAAAAAAAAAAAAGCAGTATACTGCTCGAAGATAAAAGCATTAATTGAAAAGCAACCAGAGGGGGAGAAAATCCATTACTTTCAAAGTAACTATCACAGAATTTATTGCTTCTCAATATAATAGTGGTAGTAAAAAACAAAAGAAAACAAATAAAAGAAAGAAAACAACAACAAAGAACAAAAACCGTGAGTACACATTCTCCACGAGCGCAGTTTTGAACTTTGAAACGGTAACTAGAAGAGCAGAGCATCCCTGCTCAAGGGTGACTTGCAAATCCATGAAATAGGTCATCCTTTCAGCCTGGTCAATAACCCGTGTCTGCAGAAGCTGCAGGCCCAAGGGGAAAGCGATTGCTTCACTGAACTGACATAGCATCCATCTGCCTTCTAAGTGTCCGTGTTTAGAGCTGCCATAGCCAAGAGCTTTAATCAGAACAGGCTCTTTTCAGTGAGCAGTGGTGAGTGCGGAGACTTAGAGATAACCCAATGAGAATCTTTTCAGTGAACGGTGGTGAGTGCAGAGACTTACAGCTGCCCAATGAGGATAAGAGACCTTTAAGGACCCAGCCCCAAACCAGCCATGTTTTACCACCAGAGCTCAGGGAACATCATGGAAGAGGGATCCAGAAGAATTGAAGACTAGAAGACGGGAAACGAGTTACAAAACGCGGTTCCTTGTGCATAATCCAGCCAATGTAATCATGGGGTCACAGGAGCATCGCTTACCTGCAGCAGACTGGCTTGTCAACAGGTCCCAATGGAGGAAGGGCTCATGGTGCACTATCTCTTCCTCTGACCTACTGGCCATTGATAGATGATGCGAGGAGGAAATCACCGTCTTCAGTTCTGCACCCAATGCCACGCCCACCGGGCTACAGGGGATGGCTCCAAACCCGGGGCCCCACAGAGTGTCGTATTTAAATTCAGTGGATCACAACACAAATAGATAGGGGTGCGAGAAAGATGTCTGTAGAGAAGGGGGAGAGATAAACAGAAGCAGAAGAGAGGCAAGAGGGAGTGGGGGATGAGAGTAATCAGCAGACATGTGTACATTGTGTACATTGTGAAATTGTCAAAGAAGCAATAATAAAAATAATGAGGTACTGGAAGAAATTAATATCAAGTGCTGGAGTAAAACAAATGCCAACATAGAACTCTATATTTATTCAGAATATTCTTCAGATATCAAAGAACAAGAAAGATGTTTTCACAGAAACAAAAAAATTAACTCTCCACAAAACTATACAATAGTGTATTTAAATAATTCAAGAAGCAAAGATATTCTTTTAAATGAAATCAGAAATGTACAGGAAGTGAGTAGTTCTAGAAAAGATAATAAGCATGTTTGTAAACATATCGACTATAATAAAATCATAATATGAAAATAATATGGAATATAAAATACATGTAGACTTTATATACACCTACAATAACACAGAAGTCTCTAGTGAATAGATGGAATTGAAATGTTCTAAGACCCTTGCATTGTCTGGGAACTGTATTAATGACTAATAAATACAATATATAGATTCCTAAATCACTCATAAAATCACTAATACATTCACAAGAATTAAAATAATGAATAAGGATACTTGACTACTTTAGAAAAATGCAAGGAATGGAAAACAAAGGAATTATGGATGAATTAAAAATGAATACTAGAAAAACAAACTAATTTCTGACTGTCGTCTTTATAGGACATATAGTCCCAATGTGGTGACCCAGTGCCTTCCCATCTTGTAAAATTCCCCACCTTTATACAAAGGACAACAGAATCCTGGCTGAGACTCTCCCTGCACTCTCAGACTATCGAAGAAGTCTCCTTTGCTTCAGTTTCCTCCCATTTCCTCCACGCGGTCTTTCCCTTTCTCAGCTGGAAAACAGCAAAAGAAAACCCCATTGAATCTTCCAGGGGAGGGGGGCTTCTCCTGAAAAAAGTTAAAGAGCTAAATAAAATAAGTTAGTTATCAAACCTCCAACTTTCCATGCCTGCACTCTTCCTCACGCTCAGGGTGGAGCATGGCGTCTGTTAGGTCCAGTGAGCCGTCTGCCGGTTATCCCCCCACAGCTTTGTTTATCGGCCCTCCACTTTCCTTGGGAGACCCTGCCATGAAGCATCTCCGTTTAGCTGACACCAGGCATGTGTCATTAAACCCCCAACTTAAACAAGACCCGGAATGGAAAAATCACAAAGCAGGAAGCTTGAGAGCCACATCAAAACAACATTCTTAGATTTGGGAGAAAGCCTTTTCTGATGTAAAGATTTGATGAAAGCTTTTTGGAATGAGTCTAGAACAGCAGTGTTCAACCTTCCTAATGCTGCACCCCTTCATAAAGTTTTTCGTGTTGTGGTGACCCCCAAGCATAAAATTATTTTGTTGCTTACTTCATAACTGTAATTTTGCTACTAATTGTAACTTTGCTACTGTTATGAATCATAATGTAAATGTCTGATACGCAGGATATCTGATATGTGCCCCCCGCCCCCATGAGGTCACAACCCACAGGTTGAGAACCACAGGTTTAGAATCTGCAAGAGGAATTGTGAGCTTTGTCTGAATGGCCTTGTGGAAAGTGGCTCTTCACTGAGTTATATATATCCTGGAGATTCATAAATCCACTGGCAGTAACCCAAGCTATCCTGAGAGCAGAATACTAAAAGTAATGTGGTCATATGTCCTGATTGGCTAGCAGAAGACGGGCCTATATTATGCCTGTTGTCCTGGGTTCATTATGAACAGTTCCTTTTTCTCTCTCAAAAGTGTCCTGGTTTGGATAATGGATTTTATGACCATCCTAATTAAACATCAACAGAGCTAATGAAGCAATTTAAAAAAATTGGACTGTCATTTGGATGACAGAGATGCATCTTGCCAATGTTTGTCCATGTGCAACTAAGCTGGTCCCCTGATTGACTTGGGCAGCTGGAGTCTTGGACAAACAATTGTATACAATTCTAAGTCAGACTTCTCAGCTCTGGTGGTGCACAGTCTAAAGGCAACTGATTCTCCCAAAGCATTTACAAACTGCCCAGTGAGCCAAGAGAAGCAATCTTGGATTCTTATTTGGTTGCTTCCTGCTCTTGTTATCCAAGCCTGTGCTGTGCGGTGCCACGCCCATCTGTGTGGCTTGCAAGGCTAGTGAGCACTTGAAATGTGGCTAATTTGAACTGAGATGCACTCTAAATAGAAAATGTACACTGGATTTAGAAGATGGTACAAAAATGTAAACCATGTCATTAATGAGTGTCCTATTGAATATATTTCAGATTTGTGATGTTTTAGATATGGTTTAAATAAACTAGGTTATTAAAATAATTTTTAACCTCTTATTTTTATACTTTAAACTTTGTATGTGTATCTATTAGAAACTTAATATTACCAATGTGGTTTGGGTTAGCTTGTATCAGACAGTACTTGACCAGCACTTTGACGTTTTCACCCAGAAAACCTTACTGAGCTGAGATTAAGACAAAGTCCAGCTTTATTTCAGCGTACTCTTTGACAGCATTTCCTGTTCTATGTTTTGTCACAGACCTACTAACACTTCCAATTTAAAATAAGATAACAAGTATTAAAGATCAACCACACGGTTAAGAACTCAATAAATGTTAATGTAAGTTCCTCATCTAGAGCAATTGATTTCATCTCGCACACAAACAGGGGCCTTGCCCCTGAAACACAACTCTGATCAGTTAGGAAGGACTGCTTACCTTGAATTCATCTTGTCCATCTTCCATCCTTACTCCCTTGCACCCAAGGGTGTCACTGGCAGCGTTTGCATGGTATTTTATTTGCACTTTACTTATATGAAGAGAAGGTAAAATACACACATGACCTGTTATAAAAGTTCCTGAGATGAGCATAACTCATAGTTAATGATTTAAGTGAAATTTAGTGAACTGAAGAGCATAAATATGGTTTATGCCCTTCATTTTTTTTTCAAGAATTAATGAATTTCAGAAGAAGTGGGAAATGCTTTTTAAAATGTAGCTAATAAACACAGAACCTGTATTAAAAATAAGATCAAACACGTTATGGCAGCTATTGGCAACCAACTAAAGATTTTTGGGTTTTATCGTTATTTGCAACTGGACGTCAGTTTCCTGAGGAGGAGCCAGCGTATTTGAGATCACTGGGGTTGCTATTTAGGTAGTAAAAATCAAAACAATGGCGAAAGGGGGGAGATTGCCACGCTCCAAGCAAGAGTTTGGAAACACACTGTGATAAAAACAAACAAACAAACACAGAGAGACGAGAATGTCAGAGGAAGAAAGTCTCAGAGTTGTAGCACCCACACACAGCTGCAGGCAACATCAAGTTGTTGCAGTAATTGTCTACCTGTATGTTTGGAGCTGGTTCCATTTATAATGTCTTTTTATAATGTATTCTAGAATATTCTATGGTAGAAAAAGCTTTCAAATATAATCTTCACTGTCCTCTTAACTCTTTGTCCATGGCTGTGGAGGCTTCTCACCTGCCTTCTTCTGCTGGTCATCATAGGTTGCCTAAAACATTTGGCTGTTTTAAGTTATAGTAAATGATTAATGTTGCATTCTCAGGGTTGAATGCCGGAAGGGTAATTATTAAGTGAGTGCTTATCACCACTTTAAGTTCCTTCAGTATGCTGACAAATAGTTTCTAGTTTAGGGAATACTTTTAAAGATAAGCATTTTCACTACTTTCAGATGAATGCAATAGTAAAAACAGAGTAACAAACTTGGCAAGCAAATGTTATTTGAGGACTTTATTACATAAGTGATTTTTAGCATATGAATTATTTTTTTTCAGCCAACTACTATCTATTAAACAACCATTTTGCATGGAACTCCAGAGCTAGAAGTACAAAGATCATTAAATTATCTCCTTGCCCCCAGGTAGAGAGTGAAATCAGTAATTCAAAGGGAGTAAGATGTATTTGAAAATGCCTTCCTTGTACAAATATTTTGACAATTTATTCGAATTCTTATATTTTTAGTCAGTAAATTATTTCTACATAAGTAATCATTAGGCAAGGTTTAGCCCCTAACAGAATTATTAAATACTTACTAGGTAAAATTAATACTTTTTTTTTTTCTTTTTTTTGGTTTTTTGAGACAGGGTTTCTCTGTGTAGTTTTGCGCCTTTCCTGGAACTCACTCTGTAGACCAGGCTGGTCTCAAACTCACAGAGATCCGCCTGCCTCTGCCTCCTGAGCGCTGGCATTAAAGGCGTGCGCTTCTGCTGCTGCTGCCGCCACCGCCGCCGCCGCTGCCGCCGCCGCCGCCACCACCACCACCACCACCACCTGTCAATTAATACATTTTATTATGCTTTGCATTTACTTTACATTTACTTTAATTCCTGGAAAGAAAAACAGAGAAATTTTTAGTGGAAATCATTAAGAAAGACTATTTATGTTATAATTTACATCTGGAACCCAGTCAAGTCTAATTTATATAGGATGAGGACAGAGACATTTTCAGATTTACCATCTGGGGAGTGAATGGGACTTCCAACTCTCTTGTGTAGCTTCTAGAAAAATTTGGGCCCTGAGGGTCTGCCTGAATACTGGAGTAAGGAGGGGGAAATGCTTTTGTATGAGCCCACATGTGCACAGAGATGAAAACATGCTTCTAAGAAGAATACATACTGCATATACCATGCAACAAAGACTTATCTGGCCCTAATTATCAATAGTTCCAAGCCTGAAGTATTGTAAGAGAGATTAAGCCAAAAGGGAGAGCCTGTCTGTTCTGTTCAACAAGACCAGAATTCAGCCTTCACCAGCTAAGCCATTGAAAAACACTTTTGGAATACTTCCTACGGCACCAGGTAACATTTTAGACACTAAATACAGTGGTGAATGAAAAAGACTAAGACAAAATTTAATAAATACATGATGTACTGATCTGTACATCTTGCTGCTATAACTGAATACCATGAACTAGGTTATTTATAGAAAATGACGGTGTGTGTGGTTTCTAGTTCTGGAGGCTTGATTTAAGAGCATGAGTGTAAGCCGCATCATAGAGTGGAGGACTAGGACAAGTGTGCTAGAGTGGACCAGTGTGCCGGAGCAAATGTGCCCCTGAGAGGGGGGGACTTTAACAAAGCTACAGTGTCCATAAATAATGTATTTGCCAGAGATATGAATGATTAATCCCTTTATGGATTATCTCCCAAAGATCTCAATTGTATGAGTGGCTACAGCAGTGGCCAAATTTAGTTTTTATGGGGAACAACCACATATAACCAAATCATAACACATCGTGCTCTAACTACTGAGCTAGCTGGTTTATGCCACAGCGTATAATAAAAAGTAATGAGCGCAGGCAGTTTGTAAACGATATGAGATATAAAGGGAGAGTGAGTTAGGTGCCCCCGGAAAGCTGCGGCAGGGAACACAAGTGTTGTGACGTCAGATGGGATGCACAGGACAGTCTCACGGAGCAGCTAAGGTGAAATCTGAAGGAGGTGAGGAGGAGGCCACTCCAACGTATTCCTGAGGACAGAGCGGGTATGCACGCATGAGGGATCTGTGCAAAGAACTTAAGTAACATATTTGCTGGGTCAAGGAACCCCAAGGGGTCTTCGGGGGGCTGAAAGAAAGAGCAGGAACTGAGACCAGAGGCAAACACACAGATAAGATCGTGCAAGGTGTTATTATGAACAAAACTGAGGAGACGTTCAAGGTTTTGAAAGAAGAATGGCATGTTCTTGATGTTTAGAAAGGGCCAGCCTGACCTCTGAGATGCTGGTAGAAGCAGCGACTACTCTAGCGTAGCCAGCCAACCAAAAGATAAGGAGGCTCTGACCTGCTTTACGGCGGCGGCAGCCAGCAGCAGCAGCGGCTTGTGAGAGGTGGTTGGATCCCTCCCTCCGCTCCATCTCACCCGGAGGACCATCGACACTGAGACAGGGATTCTCTCCAGCACACCAGCGGAAACAGAAGGGAGGAACACTTAGATGGCATTACACCACGGAGGTGGTAAAATCAGTGAGACAGGAATGGGCTTGGAGGCCATCATCTTTACAGGATTGACAATTATGTCCAGGGACCTACGGAAAGTAAAGATGCCGATGGAGGGGGAGGGGAGAGTGGCGAAATGAAGACCACAGGAAGAGAGAACGGGAGTCTTGGAAGGGACAGGGAAAAAAATTCACATGGAAAATCCCTAAAAATCCGGACCACCCCAGATGTAGGGAAAGAAACCGCAACTCATCCAAGCCTTCCCTTGAACCGCTCATCTCCAGTCAGTGGGTCCTCGTGGGTGGGGGCGTTTGGCAATTATAACTGGGAGAAGCCATATGCTGTGTAGTTGAAGTTAGAGATGTAACTGCTAACTAACTTACACCATGCAGGGTGGTGCTATGGCCGAGAGGTCCTGCTTTTTATATCAGCTGAACCGGTGAGTGAAGAGCTGCCGTGGTCCTTCTCCACGTCTCATGAGTCTCGTTTTCGTAGGAAGGAAGGTAAACACTTTCAGGAAGTCTCCACAGTTACCAGAACAAGCAGTTGGAAGATGGGTTTCATTTTCCTGATTGCCTCATCCTGTGCCCCAGTGTGAAAGCTCAGGACCTAGGAAATGGCTACACAGGGCTCACGATGGCACAAAAGAAGTAAAAAAAAAAAAAAAAAAAAAAAAAAAAAAAAAAAAACAATTATGTTCTACTTTTGTAACGTTCAAAATGATCCTGACTATAGGCTCATTTTGAAAGCTAGTGCCTGTGGTCAAAGTATTATTGTAATTACTATAGATTACAAATTAAAAGCCACCATATAGATGTAAAGTAAACCTGGGGGGCGGGGCTGGACACATGGCTTAGAGGTTAAGGGCATGAACTGCTCTTGTAGGGAACTGGAGTTTGATTCCCAGCACTCACACCAAGCTGCTCACAACTGCCTATAAAGACAGCTCTAGGTATCTGGTGCCCTCTTCTGGCTTCTATGGGCAGCTGCACTCATGTGCATATGCCCAGACCCAGACACATACATGCAATTAAAGAATATTCTCTTTAAAAAAAGAAGAAGGAGAAGGAGGAGGAGGAGGAGAAGAAGTAGACCTGAGAAATAACTCCTCGAGCATTATGGCACAAATGAAGGGTATTCCAAGTCAAATATGGCACCAGTCTCAAATTCTCTGAGACTGAGGAAACCACTGTACTCTTGTAGCAAGAGGTCCTCCCTCAAAGATCCATTCCCCATTCACCTTAAAGGCACTGAGCATGTGGTACGATGGTTTCCAAAGCTGGGTATTCCAGGAGGAGAGTACAGCAGACTTTGGCTTATTTATCTTAAACAATAGATAAGGGATGGACACTTGCTCCAAGAGGTTTGTGTAACCACGGACCACACACAGGTTCTGCCAAGGACAGGTGTAAGTTGTTGCCCCTTTCAGAACCAGATCATGTTCTACACATTCCAGCATTTTCCATCATAGGCATGTCTGTGCTTTGTGACCATGAAACTCCTTCACAGCATTCGGAGACGTCCCCTGGTTATCTTATGTCAAGGAATTTTAAACAAGTGCTATTTTAAAACTAATTGTTTTCTAAAAAAAAAAAAAAAAAGACACCAAATGGCACAAAATTGTTTACCATTTTTACCAACACAAAATGCTGACAGTAAGCCAGATGATATTTAAAATTCAGGCACATGTTTTTTAAACGTCGAGTAAAATAAGTTACTTCTGAAATACACATGTGCTGTAAAGAGGGTTGTTTCTTTAAAGATATTTGAAAACACTCCTTTGCTATGTGATTGTGATGCTGAAAACAATATAAACAACCATGGAGCTCTCTCACCAACACAACTATGAACACTAGAGGCAACTTTTAAAATATACTCAATATTTTTTTGGACAGAGTTCTAGTGAATTTTATATCTATTTTTAAATTTAGAACTTTCCAAATTATATGTGAGAAAAAAAATGGATTGATTCCAGAGAAGGTGAAAAATTAGTAGCCAAATTTCAGGGTGAGTAATATCTTCATGTAATTCCGAGCAGGTCTGGAAAATGAGAAAAATGTAAACTTAGTGAACAACTTTCAGTCAGATCTGCAAGCTAGCTGTCATTAGCAGGCTAGTCACTTAAGACAGTGACAAGAGCTCCTCCCATTTAGTGACAGTTAGAACTTGGAACCGTGTCATAAAGGGCAAAAGCAAGATTTTAAAAAAATTTACAAAGAAAGTCAAATAAGACAAAACTCAAGCTGTGGTAGACGGTTTCTGCAATGACTGCATAAATCCTTCTAGCTAGCCACGCCTTTCACATCATCTCCCAAACTGAAGGTCCGAGGCTTCCTTGTGCTCTTGCTTCGGCCGAGGGCTCACTACCGCTATTACACAGTCAGCCTTGAGAAAACCTCAGGCCACAATCAGAAGCTCGTGCACACAAGGGTAGCTGGGACCCAACTAACAGTGTCAGAGGCTGGTGAGGAACCGGAACGCCACGACTCATGGAGGAGCCCAGCCTGTTTCTTACCCAAAGAATCATGAAGTAGCAAGTGATAGCTGTCT